CTCGCCTAGCTCTAGGAACTAGAGTCAACACGACACTTTGTCGAACGAATGAGTTTGACCGTTCCTTATATTGTTACATTGGTCGCAGAGGCGTTCAGGAATGTTATTGACCGATCGATCGGTTCCGATTGGTCAGCCGGTGCGGGAGGCGGGGCGCGCCTATCGTCGGCCGATCGCTCTGCTGATAATGGCTGGTGTTTGCGTCAGCGTCATTGTTTGAGAACACTCGACGAACACACAAAAAAGATAACAAAACAACGATTCGATCACTGACTGATTCTAATCTCCGATCGAATGAAGAGACTGACAAATGACACGTCTCCCGTGTTATTGTCAATATTTTTATCAGAAGTACGAGTATACAAGGAGGGACGTGGAGACGCATGGACCGTCAAAACGTCGCTCCGACCGCCGCGCCGAGAGCTCAGAAGGAATTCGTAATTAGCTAATCAATATTGAAGCATCCTTTTGCAGTTGCTCCATAGAAATATGTCTTTGATATCTCGCGAGGAGTGCGAGGAGGGCGAGGTCTCCCCCGCCTCGAACGGAACGCGATCAATCAAAATCTGTTTGTAATTTTAAATGGTTCCTGACAACCGAGATAAAAAGCACATTCCAGCAATATTTTACTACAGAAATAACTTAAACCCGATTAGTAGGTACAAAGAGATCATTTATTTTATATATATAGAAGTAATCGAAATCATAGGAAAATTACTTTATGTTTGTTACATATATTGGACTTGTGCTTGGACCGCACCACTAATGAATGCTCTCATCCACAGTGCATTTCTAGAGATCTTTCTTGGCTCACACACTTGGCTCCACGGTCTACCGGCTCACTGGACGGTTTTTCAAACGAAGCTTGAACCAGTCCTAAATATCGGATAGCAGTACAACTCTGCCCCTGGTATTGATGCCCATAAGCATAGTTAACCACTTACTCTTACATAGCCAGCGCGCACTCTAAGAAGACGTGGACCATGCTTCAATTCCAATAATTGAATCAACTCCACAACACACATGATCTAAAGCCACAAAAACTAAACAATTAGGTCAGGAAGCTTTTAGAAGTTTAACGACCTAACGATTCTCACCCTACATGAGCTTAAAAGCTTCTTTGTCTTTAAGTCTTAAAACAGTTTGAATATTTAATAAGTAAGTGAAACGTTGCGCGTTTGTTACACTTCCCTTTTGTGAATAAACGTTTGAGTCAGTCGCAAGAGGGCGCCGCGGAGCAACCCCAAGCTTGGCCGGAGAGCTGGGAGCACGATCACTCGCATCCCAACTACTTCTTTTTATTGGTTATTTCGACTGTTTCTCGTTAAAACATTAGTGACAGTGAGAGGCAGCTAGACTGAACTTCTCTTGTGACTTCCGACCATTTGCCTTCCGAATCTATTTAAAGGGGTCCTCAGTGACTGGCCGCGGTATGGCTCGACCCCGGGTGACGCTGACATCAATAAACGATGGTGACCACTTACGATCGGGTAGCAGTAGGCTCATCTCCCCTCGTTCGAATATTACGCAAGGCACATGGAACAAATGACTCCACCAAATAATGAAAAATCAGACAAAAACTTTGTAATTTTTTTTGCTTAGACGGGTGGACGAGCTCACAGGCCACCTGGTGTTAAGCGGTTACTGGAGCCCATAGACATCTACAACGTAAATGTGCCACCCACCTTGAGATATAAGTTGTAAGGTCTCAGTATAGTTACAACGGCTACCCCACCCTTCAAGCCGAAGCGCTTTACTGCTTCACGGCAGAAATAGGCGCGGTGGTGGTACCTACCCGTGCGGACTCACATGAGGTCCTACCACCAGTATTGGCCTAGTTCGGATAAAAATGTAAAAGTTTGCGTTTGGTTCCCGAATGAAACACCTTTATTTAATTAAGCACCTCTTCGCAATATCATAACAACATCTTAAAACTCCAGGTGACAACGTTAACCCAGTCTCCATCCAGTAGGTACACGCCAAACTCGAACTATGTAAACAAGTTGTAAGCGAAACGAAAACGCTTCTAATGTACAAAGTTTTAGAAATATTATAATATAAACCATTTGCGGCAGTTAAGCTATACTTGGCTTGCGTACAGGGTGTTTTCATAGCTGATCTAGGATACACACACAGGTCCGACCCTGTATCAACCAAAAATTGTATTTTAGAATGTCGGTCAGATATGAAAAGTCGGCCTGAATTAGTTGGACAGTCATAGGCCGCTACTTCCGGCTGTCCATGGAGTTTTCCGACTGCCATTGACATGGTTTCTGGCATTTTTTTGCTCGACCAGAGAAATTAAAATGGTACCAACAATGAGGGTGGTTTTCAGGTGGCTGACGTAATCGTGACCGTGACCTAGATCTGTCCCTTTTCTGCCTACTCCGTGACCGTTGGCGTGCATGATGATAACCACGGTTCATGTTTGTAGTGAGCAATGCTACCTGCTTTGTTAATTCACTAATCTGGTTGGCCATAGTCTCAATAATTGTTGTGGGCATACCTTGAGTTGAAGTAGGCGCGGAGTGAGCTGTACTCGCTACCTGGTATGGTGCAGAGGGTGCAAGTTCGTGTATTTTATCCGCCAGGTCAGCTAACTTATCGAGTGGAAGATCTGACTGGGAAGCTACAATAGTCTGTATATTACTCGGCAATCGACTCGACCACAACGTTTTCACGAAATCGTCCGGCACTGAAGGTCCTGCCAGGTTACTCAAATGTCTCAAAAACTGAGACGGTTTGCGGTCCCCTAACTCTTCATGCATTAATAATTGTTTTACCTTCCGTTCTTGAGATGCAGATAACCGTTTAATTAATTCCGTTTTCAGTTTGTTATATTTTTCTTCGGTCGGAGGGTTGGTTATAATATCTTTTACCTCCGATATGTGTCTGTGCTCCAAAACGGCGATGACGGAATAAAACTTTGTGGAGTCCGTTTTGATATTCGCCAACACGAATTGGCCTTCCACCTGCGCGAACCATAGCTCTGGTTCCTCTGGCCAAAACGGGGGTGGACGGAAACCGATTCTCGACGTTTCTAGCGAGGCAGCATATGAGGTACCCTCCGTGTCCAAAAATTCGTCCGGCGTCGCTGCTGGCTGCTTTCTTTGTTGTGGCTCCATGTTCCGTGTTCGTATTCGGCGTCACCAATTGTGGTACCAACTATAGTTTTGTTGCAGTGAAATGATACCACTAATTACAATTTTATATTTAATTAAATAGCGATCAAATACAAATGTTATAGCGAAGCACCAGCGTATGTTTTTGTCTCGAACTGAACCGAATGAAAACATTTTGCGAGTACCGACGAATATTATATAAAGTGCGATGCTCCAGCGCAGGGCCGTACTCAGCGCAGGGCCGCACTCAGACTCGCTACATCCTCATTAACATTCGCACGTGATACCTACTGGGATACAACTTGAATTTTGTTGAAGAAATCGATACTTGGTCACGATATACTAATAGTACATTTAAAATTATCTAAAACAAATAATTAGGAAGTAAACTTTTTGAATTAAGTCGAGGAGTCAGACTCGAGATGGTGTGTCCCGTCTGTCGAGATTCATTAGTTGGTATTGCAGGTCTACTCCGTTGTACACATGAGCTCAATCGCCTCTTAACTTAAAATCCTAAAACTATAATCGAATATATTATATCGTCTAAAATCAATTGTACTCAAATTATGTGCAATACATTCGAGACAATTACCTGCAGAGACCAGGGACCGCTCTCAACTCTAAACAATACAAAGCGACTAATTCTAATAGTCGTCCTCCCTCCCCCGTGCAGGTGGGAGGCCCCGTCCCCCACACTCGGGCGGCTGCGACCGATCAACGATTTAATTGCCGATAACTTATATCGTAATTAACCTGCAATTATTCTCTTCTAGCGCTCACACACACCTCTTGCGCTTCGTGAATTTAGTTTCATAGGTTAACCTTGTACAGTCGCGCGTCGATTTTGTTCAAAATGTGTTAATGAATTACGTTTATGGTAACGAAGTAAAAATGTGTGAAATAATTGAAGTTGGAACGCGATATTAGCAAAAGAAGTAAATATTACCTCATTTCTGTTCATAGCATAATAATTTATAACAAATCGACACAATAGATACAGAGTTATGTTTTTAAATACGTTGGACAATAAAAAGCTTGCTGAGACTTTAACACAAAAATACTCAAACTAATTAAAAATTCATCTTAATATTATTTTATTAATTTTGTTTCTTAAAATGCCACTCATAAATAAGTGAACAAACTGAAGAGCATGTTGGATGTTTAATACATTCGATTCGTGGAGCACAGATAGGACAAGCTGAAATTATCGGCGTAGAACGTAAAGGGCGCCTTATCTCCTAATAGCCCTGAGGTACCTTTCAAAAGGGACCAATCTCAATAAATTTATGAAAGGAGTATTGCCAATAAGGGCACCGGGATATCCTATTAATTAAAATACTTAATTAATTCACCTGAAATTGTTTTAATCAATTCAGTTTCGCTTAATTTATAAGTAGAGAGATATCTGAATCTGCGTTGGATATATGTAGGTATATATAGAATCAGAATTGTAACATCTTTATACTTTATATTATGTTAACTTTACATTTATTAGCGTGCTGTTGCATGCAACACCACTGTGTAAGAACGGGCCACACTGCGCTCGCGACGGCTGCTCGTGCCGAGTCGGCGTCTTGGAACCTCGTCCTTCTAAGGAGTGGCCGAGTGTCCTGCGATAGTTTACTCTGTCTAGCCGCAGCATATACGAAATTTTAAGCTTTCTCGTTCTTCGTATTTGTGATACGAAATAAAATACGCTCTATAAAGCAAAGTACACTTCTATCTTATGACCATCTATGAATCAAATATTATAGTTATTGTGATAGAGATCCCCAAGACCCTGGCTCCCACAAGTTCGAATAGTGAACTGATACGCCATATACGCACCCTATTAGTTAATATGGTGTGTAGCTAAAGTTAGTTGTGTTGTTGTCGCAGCATGCTTCGATCGTTGGACCTCGGCGCCGGCGAGCGGTCGTGCGACAGGTCCTTAGAGCGGAAGCCGGCGCCGCCCCGGTCGCCGAGCGCCGCGCCCACACTGGACGAGCGGAGCCCCGCCGAGCGCGAGCGGAGCGCCGAGCGACGAGACGCAGGTATGTGCTCACTCCTCATCCTATAACTTGACTAAATTTTGAGCGTCGATATAAAGCGACGGAGGGCGCCCGCCGCCGCATGGCCTTCACCTGCCACTGACTCCATCCTCGGTACCGAAGGAAACGAGTCAGTCTTGATAGATTCGCACTTAAGATACGCTTCTCTGCGTTTACGGTGCAACCACGAACGGAAGATTCTAATCTTCGAAATCATAAAAACGATACTTCATGCTCTCGGTGAACTGTAGTAATGACGCAACCTCGCTGCATTACTTGAAATTCAGATGTTTGTCGTTTGTTTTTTCTTAACGAAAACGTATTTAGTATTTTCGGAGAACGTGACGATATGGCGCGAACTGTCGCCAGCCGGCTCACTTGTGACTTATAGTCTTAGGTACGTGTCGAACAATTATATATTCACACACGTTCTCAATTTGGTCAAGTTGTAAGCGAACTGTTCTGTGTCTGTTTAACTGTAAACAATATCTTTAGATCGAGGACTTTATCATTACTAAACGATCGTACGTCGATCGCAAAACGTTGAGACGTTTATCGTCCACGATCGATCCTAAGCGCGCCCCCGGCCCATGGTGGGCTCCCGGGTCGGCGTGGACACGCGCGCTCGTCCGCGGCTAGTGCGCGCTCGTCTCCCTACACCGCCGCCGTAACGATCCACGCGCGGAGTACGAGGGCTCCATCCAGTTCCCACCACCTCGCCATGCCGCTCACGGACGCGCGTAACCGTTTCAAAACATTCAGCTCCAGCATTAGAATTCGACATGAGAGACGCCGCGCTCGCACTTAAAATTCGTAAGTCGTAGAATTGCGACGCTTACGTGCGCGACGACCTCCCCTCCCCCGCCCTCCCTGTAGCCCCGAGCCCCTCCGTCCCACTCCTCGTGTTCCCGCGTGACCGTGCTCTCATCGCAGGTGCCGAGGAGTGGCCCAGCACCCCGCCGCCGCTCAACAACAACACGACCCATCACAACAACAACGGGCCCACGCCGCTGCCCCTCCCGCCGCCCAGCCCCTTCAGGTTCGAGGAGCACCGCCCCTATCGGTTCGCAGAGGACATGGGTCCGCTGCCGCCGGGGGCGCTGGTGGGTCGGCTGGGCGACTCGCTGATCCCCAAGGGCGACCCCATGGAGGCACGGCTGCAGGAAATGCTCCGATACAACATGGACAAGTACGCGAACAGCAACCTGGACACGCTGCACATCAGCCGCAAAGTGCGGGAGCTGCTGTCCGTGCACAACATCGGCCAGAGACTGTTCGCCAAGTACGTCCTGGGCCTCTCGCAGGGCACGGTCTCCGAGCTGCTCTCGAAGCCGAAGCCCTGGGACAAGCTGACGGAGAAGGGCCGCGACTCGTACCGGAAGATGCACGCGTGGGCATGCGACGAGGCCGCCATCATGCTCCTCAAGTCTCTCATTCCTAAAAAAGGTACCGCTCTTGATATTTTACAACAGGGTAGTTAGTTCCACTGAAACAATCGGCTTTAAGCTTCAGTATAAACACTGATTGCTAGAACAGTACATTGTCAGCGATCTGTTCTTCCGCCCACATTACATGTCTTGAGTAAGCACTCCTATACGACATTATAGTGAGTTTAGTGCATCAGTCATCATCAGAGCACTACGCAATACGCTCTACGCACCTACGCACCATCCGTTCGAGATAGTTTACTTAGAGTCAGGCTCCTCTGTCTAAAGGCAAACTAACCAAAATTATAATAAATTTCCATTGAGAGTACTTAGAATTGTTTAGCGCCATAATAAAATTAAGTAAGATCGAACATACTGTTACTGGTTCAATTTCCGCTCCCTTTGGCGCAATCTTCCGAGCGACTTCACGCTATCGGAGCTCGACAACATACCTGACAATAGACCTCATCAATCACCGACTTCACCTCTTTCGTGCACCCGATAACCAAAACCACTAGACCTCCGATTAATACTGCAGTCAAAGGAGCAATGGATCTTGGCATTATTGACTGTTCTTGCATCATAATTTACACTATTACGCTTGTTTTTAAGATGTAAGTATACCTAAGTTTAAGAGGCAGTCATTTTTACTTGAAATATTTGTTTTCTTTGTCCTAGACTCGATTAAATACTAGCATTAAGTTATAATAAATTCAATTTCGATTTGTCGTATAATGTTCGATTGCTGGCCTACAGTGAAATTGACGCAGCAATACGCTAATAAATTGAAATTGAATTATTATCATGAACTTTTCACGCTTCCGATGCAACATTTTATGTTTTTGTGTTTTTATACTTTTTTCCAATTTTTATTTTGTTTTCCCGACCCTGTCCTTCTGTACCCGTACCTATTCACTCCGCGTGCAGGGCGCCGCGGGGGCAGGCTGGGGGGAGGGGAGTGGACTCACACTCTGTGCTCTCACTCTCAGAACCGCATTAAATTCCATAAATCATTTTTACTTTTCTTTGACTTTTTTTATTTCAGAAAACACTTAGGTATCTTTAATGATCATGACACTGGTTGATATCGTTACGGGCGTCAAACTTAGCCATACATCGCCTTTCTATACCTCGACGTAGCTCCGCTTACGCACGGGACGAGCTGGGTGTCAGAACAACCTGACTGTTAAAATTAAATCTATCCCGAGACACAACAAGAGCACATATACGGAAAATCCTGCTAAAAAAAATTTAAAAAAACCTAGCCAGAAATCGTAAAGCAGTGTACACATTAACGACAATGGAAACCGATGTATAAATCTGGATGAGACAATGGACGAACGAGCGGCCGCCTTTGTCCACATCGATACGGACCCGGTTCAAATAGATTGAATTTCAGATAATTCGGGACATTTTCTTATTTTCCACGGAATTATGCTCCTCCCGTTGTTTCGTCCATTGTTTGCGGCTGGATCGGACGTGCCTTGTCTCTTTACACGTTTTCTAATTCGTAAATACGACGCACACAATAGATGACTATTTGGATCGTCTCCGCGTCCAGCTCGACACAGCATTAAGCTACTCAATTGTATGTTTTTTTAATTTAGAACTCGCTTGCGCGTTCTTTCAAACATGACATCAAAACGTTCAAATACCGAGATTGCTGGTTTATTTTCACTGGTAGTAGGACCTCTTGAGAGTCCGCACGGGTAGGTACCAGCACCCCGTCTATTTCCGCCGTGAAGCAGTAATGCGTTTCGGTTCGAAGGGTGGGGTAGCCGTTGTAACTAAACTGAGACCTTAGAACTTATATCTCGATGTGGTTGGCGCATTTACGTTGTAGATATCTATGGGCTCCGGTAACCACTTAACATCAGGTGGGCTGTGAGCTCTTCCACCCATCTAAGCAATAAAAATAAAAAAAACAACCGCGCCGATGGTAATGTCGTCTAATGACAGCGCGCCGGTCTCGCTCCAGTCCGCTGCCGACACGTGGGAACCACTCCCTGACCACCACTTGACGCTCAGCATAGGGACAGAGTCAGCGTGCGTCAGCTACGTGTAAAGTGTTTACATCTCTGCGTAGGTCGGATAGTAGTAGGTTCCTATTAACTCTCCCATGGAAGAAGTAAATAATTCGTAACGTTACAAAACATGTTTTACGACCGTGCAAACGCGCTGTGTGTGTATGAAACTCAAGTACCGGCCGCGAGTCGGCTGTCCGCGATTGTTTCGCAACACAACATTATGGATCCGTACCGTGGGAACTGGGAAAATTCACTGCAACGTAAATGACACAGTGCGTGGAGGACCGCTAGACGTGTAATAACATAATATCAGATGTTCGACCATACTACTCCTATAGAACGATGTACTGTGCACGGTGTACTCAATATAAGTACTTATTCAACATCAAATGTCACTGCGGTTAAACAGTTAACGATTGAAAACTGATTCGTAGCTCCAAAATAAAAATGACTATGTATGTGTGTGATCTGTCTGTCTGACATGAGTTTTGTCTATTGCATTAAAAATGCTGAATTATTTGCCACAAAAACAGGCAAATATGAAGCACTCTAAATTAATTAAACAGCCACGAGACATCGTGATATGAATAAATGTCAGTATTGATCCGTGCCCTGTAGAGGTGGGCCTCAGATAAACACTAGGCGAATGTTAAAAACTATCCACAACGAACCGCGTTCGCTCTGATTCAATCAAACATTGCTTATACTCAACTTACACTTATATTAACGATTAGCTGACCCGACAGACTTCGTAGTGCCTCAATCGATAAATAAAAGACCTAAACTTTTGTATAAAATAAACTTAAAACAAACAAAAGGAATCCGTCCGACGGGGGACACATCAAAGGAAAAACAAAATTATTATTTTTATTTAATTCCGAGAATTTTCATACTTACCTACCTTTTAAACCTTCTCTGGACTTCGACAAATAATTCAAAATCAAAATTAGCTAAATCGGTCCAGCCGTTCTCGAGTTTTAGCGAGACTAACGAACAGCAATTTATTTTTATATTTAAAGATATATGTTTCAAATCATGTCTAAATAGATACATATATCTACATATTACAACGAAGTCCCTCCGCGCTGCTAACTCAAAAACATAAACACAGTCAGTACGTCGGTCGTGTGTGTGTGTGTGTGTGTGTGTGTGTGTGTGTGTGTGCAGAATATATCCGTGTACGAGAAGGTTTGAACAAAGTTTATCTTCTCGAAAGCATTTGAAGCGTAGCGTGAAAATCTATTTTGAATGGGCCAGTATCGGCCGCGGCAGGACACCCGGAGGCTTTATGCCCGAAGTTAAGCGCTCTCGACGCTCTCCGCGCTCCCGACTGCGAACTCCCCTTACACCGCACTTAGCTTAACGCTAAGCAAATTTTAATATTCAATTGTGCTTTTGAACGAACCAGATATGTTTTAGTTCGTCCTGCTGTCGATCCGTGCGTGCGCTACGACTGTATAGTTTCCGTCAAAGAAAATATGTCTCGAGCGACCTTTTCGATAATTGTAAGCCATAGATAGGAACACGGCTGCCTTGACCTCTCCAAGACCGCAATTGTCAGCAATCCGCCCTGCCCTCTTATGTTCAGGCCCGGCGTGGGTGCGACGCGACAACCTTTACAATGACCGCCTCTTCGTTATATCGCCAAATAAGTTACGTCCGCAACACCGAGTAGTCACAAGTCGTTAGTGAGCTGAACGTAAAGTTTGCGAACTACCCTTTGATTCGCAACGCTTCGGCAATACGTTATCAATGGCGGGTCACGTTCGGAAACTACACGCTCCCCTGTCAGAAGCGTTTAAAAGCAGAGCCGAAAAGTTGTTGGGAGTGTATTAACCGCGCGCCGATACAGTCCGCGCGACACTCAACTTCTGAACGCATTAACGGAATTCGCTTTATGAATTTGTATATTTAGCTGGTCATTTTAAACTTAAACGGTAAGCAGCTGAGTAACGGCTGAGTAGTCTCTGTATATGGACACCGACAATACCATGCCAGGCCTCGTTCGAAGCCATGTCATCGTAGTGCAATAACATTAATGGATGAAGCTTTTTCGTTTATAAAATCTTAATTTTTTTTATAAATAAATAGGCAGTGGCTTGGCTCTGCCCTTGGCATTGCTGAAGTCCATGGGCGATGGTAACCACTCACCATCAGGTGGGCCGTATGCACGTCTGCCTACAAGGGCAGTAAAAAAAAACTTCAAATTCGAAATTTACTACGTTGTCAGAATTGATTGAACATGAGATTTCGTTTTTAATACGCTTTTATTGGCTTCAGACGTACGTATGTAACGGAATCTTTGAACATGATTTTGACCCCCTTCAAAGCGTCGGATTAACTCGAAAATTGCTAAAATACAATCGTCTATTAACAATATAAGAATAACTGTAATCGCATTACTAACAATTGAATTTAAATTAGCCTTAAACTAGTCTAAAAGCTTCCTGTAAACGCGTTCAATCAGACAATTATCAAAATTCAAATTAACATTTCGGATCGTGTCGATTCTCGAACGCAAAATTTTCGTCAGCCACCATAATAGGTCGATTAACAAGTCGTAATTAGGTTGTTAACGACAATATCACATAAATCATAAAGTTAACAAACACGGAAACCGTTCGCTGATCACATAATAATTACCCGATACACCCGCGCTTTGGGATTCGGAAGGGATACAAAAAGGTTCAAGCTAAAAGTTGCCAGTTCCTACTCTCCCCTCGTAATATATAATTTCTTACGTTAATATCAATTACATACCTACATACCCGTAATTAAATGAAATGTTTTAAAACCTATTTTTTCATGATGGCAATCATTATGTGGCCATCTGTCGGAAGGAAGCGTAAACTAAAAACATCATTTTTTTTTAGCAGAAACGCAAAAACTTGGAATACGTTCGCTAACGAGCGCACCTAATTGAACCCGTGCACTCGACACTTATAAAATTACGATTGGTACAAACAATTTCACCAAGCAATTATCGCTAAAC